TTTTTTTTTTTTTTTTTTTTTTTTTTTTTTTTTTTTCTTTTCAGAACCTGCTTCTGAAAAAGCAGGGCTTTACAAATTGCTTTCCAAGTAAAAGCGAATTAAATAATTCTGTACGTTGTGAGGCTGCAAAAGAACACCACATCGCTGACGCAAAAGAGCTTCCCACTCTAACTTGTTATTAAAAAAAAAACAAACCACTATGTAAAAAATTAATTTCTTAGGCAGAAATGGTTGTGTTTCCAATAGTAGCCGGTATGTGCGCTCTTTTCTGCTAAAATATGCTTTCTTTGGAGGGAAATATCAGCAGTTTCTTAATTATAATGACAGTCTATAGCTAATGTGATGGACAACACTAAATTACATCATTTGCCAATAAAATAGGCAACCCGTATAATTCTTTCATATGCCCACATGATTTCTTTTATAGTTTGGAAGCTTTTCCTTGGTAATGGATGTTGACAGGTATGAAAGCCTGCCCAAATTGTGGAACTACCTGCAGGGTATCTGTTGTGTTTAACGTGGCACGTTGTGAGGTATATATTTGTTGATTTTTTTTTTTTTTTTTTTTTTTTTTAGCAGCAGAAGCCCAGGCTGTGCCGAAGGGCTGCGGTTTGTCTTTTCGGTCTGTTTGAGATTCCTTGTAAGGCCACACCAGAGCACAGGGCTGGTGGTTATTATGGCATTGTGAGCTTCCAGTGGGCAGAACTGGCACAGTATATATATTCTCTCTCAAAAAATAAAATTATGTAGCTTCACAGAGCTTGTTCTGTGGAAATTAGTGGTAAATTATAAAAGAGCTCAGTGTGAACTGGGTGGAGATTCCCAGTGTGGCCATTAACATACCTTTAGAATGATTTCTGTTGAATTTTTTTTTGCTTTTATCGCTGTGGAAACCCCGTTTTGCAAGGAGATACGACTATCTGGATGCATCAGAGCTCAGGGCTGCTGCTGGATGGTGGTGTCGGGAGGTCAGACTGGCTCCTGCGTCCCGCTCCGGCTTCACGGCTGCGGAGCCACGAGGATTTCAGACCCGTGTGCTTGGTGTGGAAATGGAATGATTGTCCACTGTGTAACAAGCCCTTAAGGAAGGATAGCTGAAATAAAAAATATAAATATTTCTGGTTTAGTAAGGGATGAGCTTGCAGGCTCTATGCATTGGTAGAGAGGTACCGGGACGACGTTTCTCTACTAGATCCGTGTTTGCTTTGCTGTGGATCCAAATAAAAATAAATCATCGGTGAGGTGCTTATGGGTGGGTGATCACTGCAATAATAATAGTGATTTAGCTCATTAGTACTGCTCAGATAAAATGATTCCCAACACTCAACTGATTAGTTATGCAAACACTGAGGAGAGGCTTTTAATCACGCTGGTCCTTGGGTCTAACCCTGCTGCCTCCCATACAACCCTGGGAGGTGCCAGCAGGGAGGAAATCTGACCCTTACAGTTTCCACTGGATTTTTTTTTAGGCCAGTACTGACACAAAAACATTTGAAAAGTCATCCTGGTTATATTACAGTAGAAGACTTGTTTGCTGCAAATCGAAAAATTTATTTATGCATCAGTGATCTGCTTGTTTATTTATCTGGCATTTGCCTGTCTGATCTTGAGTCTGATTTCCTCTGACTCTCTGGTATAAAAGGTGAAGTATAAGTTACGATGTAGTTTGGAAACAGAATAAATTATTTTCTCAGTTTTTGCTCGTGAGCAGGGCTGGGATTTTCCATTGGAAACCCAAGTCTGAATCCCTTGATTTGTCCTGGCTTCCCACTACCATTAGAAAATGTATTGATGGGCAAGTATAGAGGTTCAAGGAGTGCTAAAATAATTGCTGTACATCCTTCAAGATGCTATTTAGCCATGTATGAACCGGACCACAGTAATCTATAACCCCCCCCTCCTTTTCCTGGCCCCCACATTGCACATAGTGTTTGTCAAACTGATGTGATGGAATAGGCAGGACAACACACGGGGTCAAGTGGTACGATAGCCGAGCTCGGGCAGCGGTGAGTGCTGCGGGAGAGACTGAAGTGTGGACTGGTGTGTCTGGTGGTTTGGTTCAGTAAAGCTCACAAAAACTTATTTAGTTAAAATGAACTCATTTGCCTTGAAAACAAACTCTTATTTTAATCTTAGGGTGGCTGACGTGGTCCCTGGGTAAAACATGGTGTGTCTCGATGGCTGATGGGTATCTTCCTTTCCTAAGAAGATATTTACTCAGAGTAGCACAAAGGGGGTAAGGTAGAATTGCTGGTACTTCTTCACCACTCTGAATGTTTTTTTGACATTAGACAATACGACAATACCTTCTTGTGATACAATTGGTGAGGACGGACACAAATACAAATATATCCCATGCTTATTCCATCTTTTTTTACAAATAATTTTGGATTCCATGATTTTGTTGGGGAGGACAGGTTACTCTGAACAACAAGACGTCTTGCTTGTTGTTCAGCCTTTTTTCTCTTATAAAGTGACTAATTCTTCATAGTTTTCCTTGTAGTCAAGTATTATAACTGTAGCAGACCTTAGATGCCCTTTTTTCCCCGGTGAATTTACCTGTGCTCTTTGTTGTGCGGTGTGACCTGCTCGGAGAGGAGTGTGGTTCTTAGCCCTCAGTCACCATGTGTTCACAGAAATACTCATCGTTTTCCCTAAGTGCCAGTATCTGGTCTGTTGTGCACAGACGGTACTTTATTGTTTCTGATCCAATTTTTATAAAGCTGCTCTAGAAATTGGGGCTTTCACAGGAGAGGTGTATGTGTGTAGGCAGGACCATATATCATTGTTAACTGAAATACTTTTGTATACCAGATAAAATCAGAGTTTATCACTTGGCACACATTAAAAAAGGGAAAAGTTTGCTATAAATGGCGCTGCCATTTGTACACTGCCCGGCTTTGCGCCTACGTGAGCGCCAGTTCAGACCCTTCTTTAGTGCTGCAGGGCGTGATTGGGTCTGAATCCACAATATTGCTATTTATTTGGCTCACAGCAGTGCCAAGGCAGGGCGCTGAGACTCGGGTCTCTCTCCAAAGGGACGCTGCAGATGCGCACAGCAGGAGCTGCGCCTCGTGCCAGGACTTCCCTTTGCTGCGATGCGCAGAAAATTCTCCATGAAAACCTTAAATACTGGGATGTACTTAGGGTGAGGACATAAAATATCCTGCGTGCTCTTCCATCGGCGTGTATTTCGGAGTAAGCTGTTGCGGGGGCTCACCTTGCTGCCTTGCCTGGCTTTGTATCAACAGCTAAACATGCTGTGTAAACTGCTAAGTGTGATACGAAGGGGTGGGAGGGAGGAGTAGAGCCAATTATAATTAAAAGTTTTACTGTATCCTTTTTCCTTTTATACATTCATATATTATATAAAATTCCTTGCACGTACTATTTAAATTCTGAGGGTTTTATCTGACCTTTCATTCTCTCCCTATACATCTGCCTTGCCTTTAATAGAATTACATAAATTACTGTCATCAAATTCTGCCTGCAATTACTTTGTATCAGTCAACCTACTGCTTTTGTGTGTATCTGCTCTCATCTCATTAGCTGTTGTACAGACGAATTATGACCTGTAGGTAGTTGACTGACGAGCTGTCGGATGATTCCTTTGTATACTGAAGGTATTTGGCTGGCAAAATGTTAATGTAAATATTTCAGCATTAGGCAGGTTACAAAAATTACCGGGGTTTGTATTGAGAAGGGTGTTTCTATACTGAGGGATTTGCTGCGCAAAAGAAGAGTGTGTAAACAGATTAACAGACCAAATTATTGGGGTTTAGAAAATCAGTTTACAGTGCAGTGAATGAAATGATTCGGGGAAACTGGAAGTCACACAAACAGGATATTTTCTTGGTATTTTATATTCAGAAATACTGCATATTCATGACCTTCCCTAATTTTGACCTTATTAGATATGGCTATTAAGTGCCCGAGGGCAATTAAAAAAAAGTTCCTAAAAAAAAAAAAAAAAAGCTTTTCACAGGAACTTGCATCAACTGCTGCTGTGTTAGTGTTGGGGTTTTTTTTAATCCCCCCCCATATAGATGGAAACTTCTGACTCCAGTCCCCATTGTCTTTCACTGTTATCATTTCTTTATTCATGCAGAGATTTTCAGATGAAATAACTTTTCGGCGTGAGTCCACGCTGTTTTCCAGCGCTCGTACTGAAGCACAGTTGGGGTCATTGCAGCTTGTCCTTTTATGCCATGATATTCACGTTGCTGTTATGAAAATCAAAAGGTTTTTTGTCTGGGTGGCGGAGGGAGGGGCCTGACGAGCTCATTTCTGCAGTTTAACCAGCCATAGGATGGGGTTTTTTTTAAAGTAAATAACGCGTCTACAGTTGTGGTTTGGAAGATAAGGTACATGTATGCCATAAAGATACCTTTCAGTCACCTGAAAATAAGGTTGGTAGGAGGGTGAAGGACAATCAAGCCAAAATATTCTTCACTTAAACCACTGGATTTCTGTTTGTCAGCTCCAAGATTGTCATTTGTTTGTCGTTTCGTAGTGATGTGGGTGATTTTTAAAGTAAATGAAGTAGATTCAGTTAGGTTACTTTTCAGATGTTAGTTTTGAATAATTGAGTACAAACTAATTTAGGCAACTGTGTGTATGACCAGTTTCCCAAAATAGCGCTGATGTGAGTGGAGACAATAGCTCTTGTCTCCAGAATAATGGAAGCCCTTGATAAAATGTTAACATCTCTAAGATTTCTCTCTGTGCATCTGTTGCTCAAGTCATACGGTCTCGTGAGCTTCCACCCACCAAAATCCCAAGGAGCAGCAGTTTAATTTCAGCATCCCAAAATAAATTTGAACCTTTTCACCTGGCGGTCTCCTTCCGGTGAGTGCATGTGCTTTATTTAAACGCAATAAGCAGAAACCATGTCTGATTGGGTGGCCACTGATATGTTGTGTGATATGTTTAACCCTTTTTCTCAGGCATGTTGTTAGGGATGAAACGTGTTTAGTTTGGAAATGCTTCCCTGAGTCACGGCGGTGCTCACCTGGTTCGAGTTGATTGGTAAAGTGTGTTTAGGATGATCAGTTTGATAGTTCGGATGTGTGGTTGATTCAGGCTTGATTCATACATGTTGTTTAAATACCCTTCTCGTGATATTTGCTTGAGTGTCGCCTTACAAGTTTTATGGCACTTCTGTAGGTCTAAATACATGAAATAAAACAGATAATTTGTATTTTCATAAACAAGGCAAGCCTTCACATAAAGATGGTTCTGACATGAGCACTAGTGGGTTTTCATGAGCAGATACACAATACCACAGTAACCATATGCTTCAATATTTAATGGCGTTTAAGTTATTTTTACATATTTTATTTTTACCACCTCTATTGAGCTCTTTGGTTTTGTGGATGCTGATGATCAAAAGCATTCTTAGACTTTTTTGGCCATAAATATTTAGCCAAGGGAGTTTGTTTTCCTGGGCTTCTTGTGTTAATATAACAAGAGTCTAAAGCTGAAGCTGTACAGGGCTGGATTTCATTAGAAATCCCTACTGGTTTTAGAGCGCTCTTCCCAGACAAACATTTGGGGCTAAACTGCCGAGGAAGCAGATGCCAGTCTGCAGATATTAAGAGTTAATATCTCTTGAGATGTGTTCATTCTCTTAAGGAGCTTCCAGCCGTCAGTGAGCTCAGAGGGGCTGGCAAGGGCGGTGGCCGGCGCCTTCGGTCGAGGTTTACGGGAACGTCTGTCAGAGACAACTCTAAATGTTGAACTCGGACCCCGAGACATTGCGATAGCAGCTGTGACTTTGGGTAGGTTTCATTCAGCTTCTAAACAAGTTAATTTGGTTTAATAATTGTGGTGCTTCAGAGCATCCGAGGAAGTCAACAAGAAGTAGTTTGGGGGGAGTGAAAACTTTATTCGTTCCCCCAGCACAAGAAAGGATTAAGTGTCCTTGTATTCCTTGTTTTTCCTCCCGTCTCTGCTGAATAAGTGTGTCTGCATGCTTACGCGTGTGTGTGTTCATGTATATATTTATTAAAAAAAAGTATATTTGTTAGTTGGTCTTCAAGAATTGAAAAGATTTTAAAGTTATTTCATCAGCTGTTTGCATGTTTATATATGTGTATGCATGCTTACGTGTGTGTGTGTTTGTGTGTATATATATATAAAAATATATGTATATTTGTTAGTTGGTCTTCAAGGATTGAAGAGATTTAAAGTTATTTTATCAGCATCAGGCAAGCTGTTATGTAAGTGTGAAAGCTTCGTTGCTATTAAGTTGTTTTCAACAAGAGTTTAGCTTGCATATATCAAGCTGTACACTAACATATAATAGAGTACAGAGGGGTTTGGGGGCTTTTAAAGTGTTTTTTAAAAATCATATAATAATTTTTTTTTCTTTTTCACAAATAAAAGAGGTTTTAAACAGTTTCTACCTCAGTATACCTTGGTTCTAGATCTGATATTCAAGTGGCAAAAAGAAAACTTTCTCATTGTTTTTTGTTCTTATGAGTGTTTTTCTGTAGCACTGCTTTATTGAGCAAATTTCAGTGGAGGCAGCCAAGAGCATTGTTAAACCAGTGAATATCTACCTGCTTAACAAGGGTAGAATTTTATGTGCACTAAAACATTTTATCTGGGAATAACATTTGGTGTTAGTTGGTTTGGTGTTCAGACAACAAACCTCTGGTGTTCTGGAACTGACGAAATAAAAAAATCTCTGAGTATGACTCAGTTTGACAGCAAACCAGCCAGTGACGTGCCTTGCTCCAAGTAGACCATGAGCCCCAAGTCTGATGAAGCCTGTTTTCTTACAGCTTTGTGTCTTATGCTGGTTTGTGGTTTGTAATTCATTTTTTTTCCATGATCAGACCATCTAAAAGTTTTATTTCTTCAGTTCTCTACTGTGTTTGGTTGTTGGGGTGATTTTTTTTTTGTTTGGGGGAGTGAGATTTTTTGAATTATGGGGTTTTTTTTGTGTCTAATGATGTAACTAATGCAAGCTGCAGTGTTTCCTTAACTTGAGGCACTTGAAGGACGTTCCCAGTGTGTGTTCACTAATTTCCCAGCCTCTACCTTCATGTCCAGCCTGGCCAAATGCCACCGATGGGTCTGAGCGATGCTTTGGATGGGGGAGGGAGCAGAAAGGCACATCATGAAACACACTGCTGTATGATGGCAGAAAAATCCTCCTTTCCCTTGGAAATCATGCTGAAGACTTGGTCAAGAGAAGGATGAAAAAGAGAGAGAGAAGCAATAGGCTGCATCAGATTGCTTTTTAGCCCATCTCCAGTGAAAGGGTATGGGAGTAGTTGGGTGACTCCATGAGTGCGTTGGCTGGTGGTGGGATTTGAGGTGGGAAATCCTCCCATGTGGAGCTGTGGGGGGTGTTTTCCTCACCTAGAGAGGCTGGTGTTGTTAAAACTTTTTAGCACTCCTAATAATAGAAAAATACTTCTTTCCTAGCTGGCTCTTAAATTCCTTTTAGTGGATTAGTTTGAATCACATCAACTAAGAGCTTGATCATCTGCCAGCTGCTAGAGTTGGGCCAAAGCTTGGTAAATTAATGAGCTCAAGGTGATTAGTACAGGTGTTGGTACTTTGGACCCTGCACCGAATTGTTGCCATGCGAGGTGTGTAGCACTGTACACCCATCACTTTTTTTTCCTCTTTTAATTCTTGTGCTGTCAGGTTGTTTGGCTTGACAGTCAAAGCAAACATGAGGGGCTCTGTCCGTGATGCTATGATGAATGAAATTTATATTGAGGTTCTAAAAAGTAGGATCAACATTATAATGACTGCTTTGTTACAGAGACACTTATTGCTGTGATAATTCTGACTCCGGTTCCAATTCAAGACCGTCGTATGTTTAGTGGGTTGTATCCATTCGCAGGATGTGTTATGGGAAGGGCTTTTCGAGTCTTGCGGTGACACTTCTGTGTTGCTTTTGGGAATGGAAAAAGGTCATTGTACAAATGTGCTGGTACCTCTGTTTTATAGAGCTGTGGAAGCTACACGGAGCTTCTGTGGGCACCAGCACATCTTACTGAGTAACTGTAGGCTGTTATTGAGTCAAGGAGAGAAGCGAGCGGTTGCTGTCACCCAACAGGGCAAGTTCTGGTGATGTCTTTCATGCACACGTTATCTGCAGATTTTTTTTAAAATATAGGAACTTTCAGTAAAACATAGCTTGATTTATAGGCAGGAAAGACTCTTGCATTTCATAAGCTTTAAGACAGCTTCGGATGATGGAAAAATGATGCGCGCTGGATCTCCAAATTCACTCTGGCATTTGTGGTCCGGTGACAGTTTGATGGATTTGGCAGTGGACGCTCGCATTTCTGAGGCTAATCCCAGATCTGCCTGCTAGCTTGGCTCCAGCATCTTCAGGAACAGAGAGCACTTTCAAGGCATTTGGTTGAGTTCTGTCCTGTTCAGTCCTGTGTTTGTTGATGCCAGCCTTTGTCTTCACTCCGTTTTTCTCTCCGATCAGCACCCATACTATATAATTGCTTTTCCAAGATATTTACAATCCTCTGCTTTCTGTGGGTGTCTGAAAACAGTTTACATTTGTTGGATATCATAAGCTTTCTTGAGGGAGGATTATTTTCAAGGTGATTTGTCTTGAAATGATTATATGTGCTTTCAGCAACTGTCAACAGCATCTGGCAGGGCTGGACCACCAGTTAGCAGTCTTAACTAGATCTGTCTGAGCACCGTTCATTTGTTGGATTTTTTTACATTATTCTCAAGTGTTTCAATCAAGACTTTAATATCTGTTCTTTTCAAATCCAAAATACCTGCAGATCTGTGTGGTATTTCTCAGGGCACAGTGTTGCATGACAGTTCCATTAAAATTGGCTCATTGGTGAGGAGTGAGGCTGTAACTGTGGCCTCCAGTGGGGCACTAAGTCTCCTTGTACCTCCAGGAGGTGTAAGTGTCTGTATTTTGTCAGTTGGTTGCCCCATCTCCTGGGATTCAGGTCCATCTTGTCGAATTCATTGAACATGGGATATATCTGGGGTCCAAAGCATGGTTGTGCACGCAGCAGTTCCCTCGTTGCTGCTGGGTGGCCTGGAAGAGCAGCCAGGTGCCACTGAAGAACTAGAAAAGTCATGTCCCATGGACAGACCTTGCAAGACATGAGGCTTGACTGTATAATACACCACTTCCTGACTTTTTTTGGTCCTCTGACACTTAAAATGACACATTAAAGTTGCTTAAAGAAAGCATGACTAGATCTTTGGCCATCGTTTGCTGGTGTTGCTGAGCCCAGCTCAGGGTGTGGGAGATAAACCTACAGAGCCCAGTCCCTCAGGGGTGGCATCCTCCATGGCCAATGCCTGGGGCCACTTGGGCAACAACAGAGTGTTTGTGCAGGTAAAATGCTGGTCAAGTTAAGCAGCCATTGGCCTTGGCATGAGTTGTAACATACCTTTTGCAGATTCTCTCCAAATCTGACCCATTGTCATACTCTTGGTTATAACTCCCGGGTATTTACAGCTATCAGGACTGCTTGGCAGTGACGTTAAATTAAGATCCAGATGATTTCTGGTGATTCAGAACAAATAGCGACTCTTCTGTCTCCTGTTGGGGTTTGAGATTACGTCTTCTACCCCGTGATTCCGTCTGGGGAGTGAGCAGCTGGGCAGGACTGTCCTGTGGTGGGCAGATCTGAGCTGGTGGCTTGCTGCCTGCCGCTGGTTTGAAGTCTCTCCCCGTCTGTCTGCACTGACTTAAATATAGTCACATTATGTAAGAGCCCACATTGTATTTCTGTTCTGTGCCTGTAGAAGCTGATAGTGTGATAAGATGGTAACCGTGCCTTGAGTTGGACATATGTATTCCTATTAACCCTGAGGGTAGCGTTGTAAAA